TTTTAAATTTAAATTCAGTGTTGTGAGGATTGAAGCTATAATTTAAAAACATTTAGTCTTCCTAATAGTTCATATAGTGTGGAATACTATTTTACTTGTATATATATATATATATATTTGCTATTTACATTTATATATATACATGCGCACAAACACAAAAAATTATAAGGATTGATAATAACTCTACTTGCATATTAAACATAGTGTATGGAATGTGGCAACACATTTGAAGATGTTGATGGTCACCAATGGAAGCCATATTGAACACTTATCACGAATAGATATTTCTGTGCTCATAAATTAATTGCTAATTAATAAAAATTTACATATTAAATTCATACTGTCATAAATTCCATAGTCAAATTGATATGTATACAATTACTGTTATTTACTTTTAGTAATAGTGGTTTTATTCAAGTTCAACATAGTAAAGTTGTTTCTGGAGCACTATATGTATATATAATATTTTTTTATTGCAGAAAAACTACTCGCTTCTCTACTACACGAAGAGTTATTATCTCATGCACACTGCCTAAGATGTAATCATCATTAGACTAAGCATCTCTCTAACAGAAGGGCAACACATCCTCTATGTTCAGTAATACCCATTTGAACATAGGCTCATACTTTCTTTGGCAGGGCTTGTTTTCATATGTGTTTTTTTCATAAGATTTACCAGAATATTTTGCTCTTACTGTTTTAATCTTTTATTAATATTGATCATGCTGAATTCCTTTCCATAATTTTCTTGATTAAATGAAAGAACGATACTAAATTTTAAACTTTCATTTAAATTTTCTTCTGTTTGAATTTTTTAATCAACTTTATGCTTTTGGAACATATGCCATTGTCAGTTCCCATTGTTTAATCTAACATACTAGTTCCATCCAATTCTCTTCAAGGTCATATAATGGCCTATGCACCATCACCATACCTGGCTCATTTTGTTTCTAGGTAATAGCAAAAAATAAAATTCTATCTTCTACATATTTTACAAAAACAGACCACCACAACATTATTTTCATGGAATAACTGGATTATTATCATTTTTTCCATGTTTCCGACATCTTCCAATATTTTTAGCACTCCTTCACCTGAGTCATCTATTACTGTAATGGTTACTGGAGACACTGGTGATCAATGACATTATTGCCATTGTGAACCCCATTGTTGGTTTGTGTTTTGTTCTTGGATCCAGGATTATAGACCTCTTGCTTTTGTTAATTCAACTGAGCCTGCATGTAAGTGTTTCACCACTGTTGTTGCCATGCTTGCATTTGCTTCTTGTTACCTCTTCCAACTATGGGTTAGGTAGTTCCATTTTTGTCCTTTACTGCTTGGTTTTCACAGGTGTGTCATTTATTTTCTTTTTCTTGGTTAAGTTTTTCTGAATTTTGGGCTCCTTTGTTCCATGATCATCCTTCACCTTAATCTTTTCTTTCTATTTAGGGATTTTCTCTTTCTTACTCATCAACTATTTGTTTTCATCTCTTATGCAATTTATATATTCATTTTCTTGCTTCACCTTCATTTGTAAGGTTTCATCATGATTCTTTTAACTTTACTGGGATAACTTGCATATACCTGTTTCCTAACTTGCCCTCGGATTTCTTGCATTTTGGATTTTCTATATCTGGGGTGTACTTTATCGGTTGCCTTACTTTCTTACTTTTGGCTATTTTGATCTCATCTTCAAGATTTGTCTTCACCTTTTCCTTGTGAAGTGGTTTTTTTGGGATGAGGTATTGCTCATCTTTTGGCATCTTGTGATAATGCAGCTCTTCAGAAGTAGTTTCTGTTCATTTTGGTTTCTTGCCCTTGGGACCATAGCATTCCACCAGGTTCCTCAGTGTATACAGTCTTATGTAGTAGCCCCCCCCCCCCCCATCTTCTGTTCCTTATGCTCATGTTACTATCCACTGTTCTCTCTCTTTATGAGGGCTAATTTGTTTCTTTTCTATAGCCTTTTAAGTTCTTTGGGTTCTTTCTCATGGTTTTTCCTGTACTTCTATTTTCCATCTCACGTGTCATAGAACAGTTCCTTAACTCCACTCTGAGGTTTTAATCTTGTCTTTTTATCATTTCCACAAAGATGGGAGGTTGTCAGCCATGTACGAGTCTGTCACGATTGACCCAACATTTTTTTTTTCAATACCCAATGGACAGACAGTTTTCTCATTCTCCAGTGAATACTATACCTGGAATTGAATTATTTGATTTGGGGTATTAGACACTTTCTTCACATCCCAATTACTCTGCTCACCTTTTGCTTCCTTCAGTTTTTTTCCACAATGGTTAAACATTTGGTTTTCAGTCCTTTTCTTTGAGTTGACTATGGCCCCAATTTTTTTCATTGTGTCCAGTGGATTTTTATTTATAAGTTACATTCTTGAGGCCTGTTTTTCTGCTATGGATGTTTTGCCTCTACATGCCCTTTCCAGTGTGGCTTCCTCTGTTGCAATTACCCTTCTCCTGGTTCAGCTCTCATTTTATTCTGAAACTCCACCTTTTATTTATTTCACTTGGGAATCTTTCTTATTTTATATGCAGGGCAGACTCAGCCTATTTCTTTGCTATGTGACATGGAACTTTGGATACCAGGACTCTTATGTCTCCTTCATTTCTAGCATGAACCTTTTTTGGCAACTCTCTCTTGCATCCATCATTCCTTTATGGTTTTATCTATCTGGATGTCCCCCCCATCTAAAACAGACTTGATAGATTTGGTGCCCCTAAGGGCTCAAAAGTCTCCTTACATATATGGTTTACCATATCTGTGGAGAGCATAACACAGGTGGCATATTGTGTTAGTTTTGCATTTGATGACAATAAACTGTTGGACCACACCTTTCCATTACCTCTATTATGATGTGGTGCAGTTCTGGATGCCTGGACTTTTTTTAGCATCTGGTTACCAGGGGCAAGATTTCTCTGTCTCTTTATCTTCGAGCTGATAGCAACTCTGCTGCTTTGCCATCATCTTCTGTCTCACCTGTCTGGTTTTCTTTCTGACTCCATTCTGACACCTCCTTTATTGTTTCTTTCTTTCTATGACAGTGTGACACTTGCTCCTGGGACTCTATTTTCCTGACTCTAGACTTTTGGGGCCACTACCACCATATTCAGTTGATCATGTTTTCAAAGCCCATGTCCTCGTAGCAGATTGACTATCTCTCCTAAGCCTGGACTCTTTTCACAGAATGGGTTCTCCATCCACTGGTAGTGTTTTCAGTGAATTTACTTCCTCTACTTGCCTTGTTGGATTATACACATCACCTGGGTTGTTTCTTCTTCTATGGGTGATGACTTTTCTTATATTTCATGTCTCCTCCTATAATGTTTCTCATCTCACAGTTTCTCTTGCCTTTAGCCATCAATGTTCCCTGTATTAAATCTTGTAGATGGAGATGTGGCTGACTCCCAACACATTAATGTCCCATAACTTCCACCAGAGGGAGGTTTCACCTACCCTGTCTTTTGTCTCTCAAGTTACCAATCTCCACTCTTCATAGTGGCTCTGAGGAAGAGTTGTCTGTTTTCCACCTTTATTTTTCAGGTTTCACAACCACCTTATTCAAAATATATATTTATAATATGGAGACAATGGACAGATGTTGTCCCACAGGAATAATACCCAAAATCCACATTGAAGGAGAGATAACGAAAGTATTAGGTTCATCCAACCCTGATAAGTGCCCACTGTTGAGATGGTGTTTTCTGCAAGACTGCTTCAGTGGTGTCTATATATT